CAGACTAGGCTGCTTTAAGCTGGACATAGCTGGTTTTGGCTGGGCTCCCAGCCTGGCTAGGCTGGTCAAGCTGGTTTTAGCTGGTCATCTCCCAGCCTGACCAGCTAAGACCAGGGTGGAAATGGCTGGAAACCAGCCTGGAAATGGCCAAAACCCCTCTAAAACCAGCCTGGTCGAACAGCTAAAACCAGCCAAGAAGCCTAGGCTGGTTTAAGCTGTTTTTTTTCAGTAGGGGTTTCTGACACTTTGCCAACATGTTTTTAATATGACAAAATTCTAGGATGTTTTATGATGTTGCTAGCATGATACAGTATTAACACGGCACATGGCTACCATATCTCCAGCATGATTTAACAATGCTAGTGTGTTTTACTGTGTTTTGCTAATGACTTAAACACAGCTAGTAAGTATTAACATTGCAAGCATGTTTCTCTGTTTAAAACAAACACTATTTAAACATTTCTCTAACACGATTTGTTAGCTTGTTTTAGCACACCACAAGCAATATTTAGCACACTGCTTACATGTTTTAGCACATAGGTCAATGTACTGCTGTCATGTTTTAGCATGTTTCTAGCTACACTTTAGGTTAGTTATACAGCTATACAGATTTTACATTGCATACAAACACATTTTTACGACACTAAATTGTTTTGAATAGGAAACATTATGAAATATGAATGGAAGCAAAACAACAAGATGAAACTGACCATCAAACACAAAGCAGAAACAGCAGTGGTAAAATGACGGCTGAGGAAAATGTGCAAGAAGAGCCACTGATTGGACACAAAGGCTGTTCCTAGCAGTGACAGGCATGATGAGCAGCCAATGAGCATTCAACGTGCAAACAGAAAAAAAAATGAATGTTGAAAGATCAAAAGAAAGCAGCAAAACAGCAGTGAATGAAAAATGAAGATGCATTTACTGGATGGGCATTTAGTGTTTTTGATGAGAACTTACATCCGCATTGTTGTCAAAGCAGACGTCTGGTCCTTTCCTGTATCGAGGCTTTTGGGCCAGAACACATGGGTCAGGACCATTTGCTGAAAGAAATCTTTAAGGGCAATATAGTGACAGCTTAAAAAAATAAATAAATAAAAGAGAGAGAAAGAGATCATCATAAGTGTAATTTGTTACGCAGTTAATGAGTTACTAAAAGTAATCTACAGTGCACAGTGAGTTTGGAATATTTCATTCATTCATTTTCCTTTGGCTTAGTCCCTTTATGTATCAGGGTTCACTACAGCAGAATGAACCACCAACTTATCCTGCATATGTTTTACACAGCAAATGCCATTCCAGCTGCAACCCAGTACTGGGAAACACCAATACACTCTCATATGCACACACATACACTACGGCAAATTTAGTTTATTCAATTCACCTATAGTGCATGTCTTTTGACTGTGTGGGAAACCGGAGCACCTGGAATAAAACCACGCGAACACAGAATAACGTCAGCTGACCCGGCTGGGACCCGAACCAGCGATCTTCTTGCTTTAAGGTGACAGTGATAACCACTTAGGCACAGTGTCATTCTTGGAACAGTGTCATTCTTGGAACATTTCAAATTATTCAAATATTACTGAAGAAAGTCTCTTGTGCTCAACATAAGTTTTTTTTATTTTTTATTTAGATGAAATCACATTAAATTTGTCAATATTTTATCATTAGCATACATTCATTACAACGTATAATAACAGTTTTATGTTTTATTATGGTGACGCGGTGGAACAGTAGATAGTGCTGTCACATCACAGCAAGAAGGTCGCTGGTTCGAGCCTTGGCTGGGTCAGTTGGCATTTCTGTGTGGTAAAATTATTAGCCCCCTGTTCATTTTTCCCCCAATTTCTGTTTAATAGAGAGGACTTTTGTTCAACAAATTTCTAAACATAACAGTTTTAATAACTCATTTTTAATGTCTGATTTAATTTATTTTTGCCATGATGACAATATATGAAAAAAAATTCAAGACATTTATACAGTTTAAAGTGACATTTAAGGGCTTAACTAGGTTAATTAGGCTGGTTAGTTTAATTAGGCAAGATATTGTGTAACAATGGAAAAAAAATAACTTAAAGGGGCTAATTATTTTGTCCTTAAAAGGGTTTTTAAAAAAATGTAAAACTGCTTTTATTCCAGTCGAAATAAAAACAAATAAGACTTGCTCCAGAAGAAAAAAAACATTATCAGACATACTATGAAAATGTCCTTGCTCTGTTAAACATCATTTGGGAAATATTAAAAAAGTAATTTTTATATAATTATTTCAAAATTATTTAGAGTTATATGCACATTTCTTTCGAACTGATAACAAAAATGTGTCTTTTCTGAATGATTTCAAAACAGTCATATTCATTCATTTTTCTTCAGCTCAGTCCCTTTATTAATCAAAGCAGAATGAACCGCCAACTTATCCAGCATTTGTTTTACGCAGCGGATGGCTTTCCAGCAGCAACTCAACACTAGAAGCAACTCAACACTATGGGCGATTAAGCTTATTCAATTCACCCATAGCGAATGTCTTTGTACCTTGGGGGGAACCGGAAAATAGTGATGAATTAAAATTCATTCATTTATTCATTTTCTTTTCGGCTCAGCCCCTTTATTAATCCGGGGTCGCCGCAGCGGAATGAACCGCCAACTTATCCAGCAAGATTTTACCAGATTTGGCCTCAGAACTGACTAATTTATCCAATGTATATGCACAAATATAATATTGTATAGCTTCCTATCAAAAATATGAATTTAAAGATAGATTTGTGAGGGGTGTACTTATATATGCTGAGTACTGGAAAAGTAATCTGTTTTTTTAGTTTTTTTTTTTTACATTTTTCCTATTATTTTCTGTTATTAGTTTTTCTTATGAGTAACACTCACAACATTGATCACACTTGACTACAATAAAGCATTGTAAATAACAGCACATATTTGAAAGGATACAAGGCTGCTCAGCTTGTTTGAGTGGTTTGGTATCACAGGACATACAGGAAATCTTTGCATCGGAGATCAAAAACACCAAATTTGTGTTGGGGAGCTTCTCCGCCCGGTACATTCTTGAAGACAAAAAGAGAGAGAAGAAAACAGCAAAGTGATTGTCAATAACACAGGTCCCACAGGAACATTTAGTCATAAGACAGGTATCATGGTTTATATTTCTCTAAACAAAGCAGACATAAGCCTGAGCGAGACCACCCATATTTGACATTCAAACGCAAGCAGCAGTAAACAGAAGCAAATATAATCATTTCAATACGCAAAAATCTGATTGAACCACAAATATGTGCATGATTTTTGTGCAAGTCAATATTCTAATTACATCTTTTTTTCCACAATGTATCAATTCCACAATAACTATTAATTTTGTATTTAATCTTTAACAAGTGATGTTTAAGTTTTAACAAGCCCTGGAAGTAAAGAACGATTAATATTACTGCAAAATTTTCATTCCACCAACTGGGCAGATTGAATGCGAGAGTTCGGGAAGGTGATTTCTTCCCTCTTTGGGATGGAACCACGGGGCGACGTTCATTCACTGAACGCAAGTTTCTGGAGGGCACATAAATCTGTAGAAGTGAGAGCAGATAAGGAGACGCAAAGGCAGAGGTAGCTTTGTAGGCAAACATCAGAGCTTTGAATTTGACGCGAGCAGCAACTGGCAGCCAGTGCAAACGGGTGAGTAGCCTAGTGACATGTGCTCTTTTAGGTTCATTAAAGACTACTCATGCTGCTGCGTTCTGGAGCAGCTGAAGAGGTTTGATAGAGTTTGCTGGAAGCCTCGCTAGTACAGAGTTGCAGTAATCCAGTCTAGAAAGAACGAGCTTGAATAAGGAGTTAAGCTGCTCTTGCTAGGCCACTCAATGACATTCACTGAGTTGTTGTGAAGCCACTCAATTGATATTTTGGCAGTGTGCTTTAGGTCATTGTCCTGCTGGAAGATGAACTGTCGCCCAGTCTGAGATCAAGAACACTCTGAAGCAGGTTTTCATTCAGGATGTCTCTGTACATGGCTGCATTCATCTTTCCCTTTATCCTGACTAGTCTTACAGTTCCTGCTGCTAAAAACATCCCCACAGCATGATTCTGCCACCACCATGCTTCACTGTAGGGATGGTATTAGCCTGGTGAAGAGCGGTGACTGGTTTTCTCCAAACGTAACGCCTGGCATTCACTCCAATGAGTTCAATTTTAGTATTATCAGAGCAGAGAATATTGTTTCTTATTGTCTGAGAGTCCTTCAGATACCTTTAGGCAAATTACAGGTGAGGAGTGGCTTCCGTCTGGCCACTCTACCATACAGGCCTGATTGGTGGATTGCTGCACAGATGGTTGTCCTTCTGTAAGGTTTTCCTCTCTCCACAGAAGAATGCTGGAGCTGAGACAGAGTGACCATTAGGTTATTGATCACTCCCTGACTGAGGCTCTTCTCCCCTGCTCACTCAGCTTAGATGGCCGGCCAGCTCTAGGATTCTGGTGGTTCCAAACATGGTGCACTTATGGATGATGGAGGCCACTGTGCTCATTGGAACTTACAGAGCAGCAGAATTTTTTTGTAACCTTCCCCATCCTTGTGCCTCGAGACAATCCTGTCTCAGAGGTCTACAGACAATTCCGTTGTCCTGGGACCTTTTATACACAGGTGTGTGCCTTTTCAAATCATGTCCAATCAACTGAATTTACCACAGATGAACTTCAATGAAGCTGCTGAAACATTTCAAGAATGATCAGTGGAAACAGAATGTACCTGAGCTCAATTCAGAGCTTCACAGCAAAGGCTGCGGATACTTAAAATTTGCAACAATTTCAAAAAAAATTTCACATTGTCATTATGGGGTATTGTGTGTAGAATTTGAGCAAATAAATGAATTTAATCCATAACATAAATAAATGTGGAAAAAGTGAAGCACTATACTTTCCGTATGCACTGTATTTAGTCTTGGAGGTGTAGATCAGCTACGCTGATGCTGCTGCTTTGATTATTATGGCAGAGCAACTACAGAGACCTGCTACTACTGCCAGTATATACGCAGACATGCTGTCTGAGAATATAACATGCTGCTGCAAACATAATGTACCCCCTGTAGCAGGTGGAGCTGGGGTAGAGGAGGGTCTCTGAAAACTTGCTGTAGCTTGACAGCGTAAAATGACACAGAGCATTTAAACTGATGAGGAGCAGGCTCATTGGCAGCCGAGGTGACAGCAACCTATCTCCTGTGCCATGTAGTTAATGACACAGGAGCAGATTAGGTGACTTACCAGCTTGCGCGTGCAGAGTTTCATGATAGAAAATTCCCTTGCAGATTATTTCGCTTGTTTTAATGAAAAACTCACTTAATTTTGACGTTATTTCTGTAACAAGACAAGAGTTTTTGCTTTGTTTAAAAAGCTCGATTTTGTAGTTTTTAAAAAAATATTTAGACTAAAAATAAAAGACCAATCTCTAAGTAAGAAAAGCCTTTTTGAAATGTGTTTGAACTAAGAACTTTAAGAAATATTAAAGCGTTAGTTTAGCAGACAAATTTTAATTCTGTGATAATTTTCTCATCCTCGTTCAAAACCTGAACACAAAGCAAGTTATACAGAAGAATGCTGCATAACAGTACTCATGCACACACTGCACACATCTTACTTATCCAACACCACCCCGACATGTGTGCAAGTCTTCAGTAAGTGTAACAGGAGATGAGTATATTATATTGGAAACCTGCGTCGGTTGGCAGCTTGTTACGTGCTGTCATCACCGAACGACTTTCAGCCATGAGTTTTCTTTATAGCGTTCTCTTGTTCTTTTTTACAGCTCTCCTCCCGCTCTTTAAAACAGAGTGACACGGGTTTGTGTGTGTGCATGTAAATGTGTATATAATGATGTGTGTATGTGTGTGTGTTACACATCACCTGCCCTCTATGTAATCACAGGCTGTTTACCGCTACCCAGCATGCTCGGCGGTGCATAACAAGCCTCAGATCATAGCGGCCATCGGGGTCACAAACACAAAAACACATATGCGAACACACACACACACACACAGACTCGTGCGAGGGCTTGATGATCACAGAGTCCTAAAGTTCAGTGGCTCACATCTGTCTGCCCTCTGAGGAATGCTTTATTCATGAGAGCAGAAGAGGTTATAAGAACACCGAGCTGCGTTTCAGGTGGGTTTATGTGGTCTCCATGAAAAAAAAAACATCCTTTGAGAAACTATAGTTATCTTTCTTAAACTTAGTGAGCTGCAGAATAAACAGTGTTTTAAAGGGAAAGCACTGGACAAAATGCTTTTCTTACTTATGCCGAGTTCAGACTGCATGATTTTAGTGCTGATTTTGACTCGCCGGCAGGTTTTGAGAAATCGCTGACAAATGCCTGAAATCACAGGCAAATTGGTGCTCGTTTAGGTGAGTGACAATCACACACTGTGAACTATCAAGGACGAGATATGAGAGTATTTCTGATGAGTCGCAGACACCCCTGAAATATTTAGCATGCTAAATATCTGGAGCAGTCTGCGATTCAAATCATGCCATGTGAAATGAGTTTTGACTAAAAATAACATCAGCGATCATCTACACCCAATAAGAGGGCAGCATTTATTAATACGGGTACCTGCAGGCCTGCGGTAGGCTGGGGAGAAGTTAAAAGCGCTTATTTTCAGTTTATTTGGACCCAAGAATTGGAGAAAAAACTAGTGGAAATTTGGCAAAAGCACTGTGTCTATTTGACGTGTCATCTGAGCAATATCACAACCAGGTCGAAAAGTAAAAAAAAAAGTGAGGAAAGATTGTTAATTCTCTTCAAAAGTGAGGTAAGCAACACAGGTTTCTAAAGCTAAAGCCTTCGTTTTCCATTATGTAGTTAATAACAAAATATATATAAGTGACCTTGCATTGTCACTTTTCGTGTTTGTTTGGTTGTGAGACATAGTTTGGACAAAGTTGTCTGTGATTCTTCCTATTGTAAAGTCATGCAATGTAAACTCTCCTGTCGCCGATCCATCCTACAGTGTAAACACAGCACCAACAGAACGCTAAACCAGATAGTCATGCAGTGTGAAAACATCTGTGACAAGACTACTTTGAAAATTATGCAGTCTGAACTAGGGCCGGAGTGGGACTCCTTTTTAGCTCTGGAGTTTCAAGCCTTAGACCGGCCCACCTCAGTCAACGACTGACTATTTTAAAATTACGTTATTTCCAATTCAGTTTCAAATGACACTAACATGTCTTATTAAAGCACACAGCTGCTTTAGAACTTCAAATGTTTTTTATAAATATGAGAACATTAATTCTTTATAGATATCCAGTCCTTTGTAACGGTCGTCACAAAAAAAAAAAAAAAAAATATGTACCCCTACATAAGTAACCCAAACAGTATTATATGTCTTAACACTGGATATAAAAAAATATATATTATACAACGTTGAGGATCGAACTCAGATCGGCGGTGTCGTAATGCAATGTGCTAACCACTAGACCATGAAGGCGCTATAAGTATTGCACTCTTATCTGCTGCTACTGATGTCTTTATCACCCTACTCTTTTTCTCTGCTTTTTTGATTTTTGATCAAGTTATGTCAGATTTATTAATGCAGTGAATCATCTGATTTTCAATGAGCAGGTGTAATATTCATTAATATTAATTAATATTCACTAAGGTGCCGCTGTTTGGGGTGGAATAATAGTTACATCATCATTAACCTGCAGGCTGCATTTTGCTATGGATTTCCTCAAACAGCTAGGGACACTGGCCCTCGCGGCCAAAAAACGGACCGGCCCACTGGGAATTCTCCCGGTTCTCCCGATTAGCCAATCCGGGCCTGGTCTGAACTCAGCATTAGATTTTTGTCTTTTTGTCTAGTCCAAATATCTGAAAATTCTTAAATCAGGAATCACTTTCTAGACAAGCAGAACATATTAGCTGCGTCCCAAATCACATACTTATGCACTATTCTACGCCATTTTATAGTGTAAATAGTGTAAGTAGTGCGTTCACACTCAAAACTCTAAAAATAATACGTGCACTTCAATTACCCGGATGATACACTCATTCAACCGGTAAAAT